ACCTTTCAATCGAACCCCTTTCAACTCCCGCGACTTCTGACTGTTTTGGTGGTGGCTGCCGCTGCCGCTGTCGTTGTTCCTCCAAACGGGAGTTGACTTAATTAACCGCCCCAGGTGAGGCTGCCACCGCTCTCCCGGGGACCGCGCTCAGGTGGGTTCAGGTGGGTTCACCAGCAGCAGGTTGGCTTCGGTTTTGACATGCCTGCGTATTTTTTTGGCAGCTAATTAGTGACGTTTGAATTAATTAAATACCGAAATGGGCAATTTCATGGAAACTTTCCCAAAGCCTCTTGCATTGCATTTACCTTTTTTCGATTGGGGTGAAGTGTGCAATCGTTGGGGCATGGCGAGCCAGTTAGATCGAATCTATTGCATTTTATTTGAAATTTTATTCCCATGTTAACAGTTCTATTATCCTTGCGGCTATATCGGTACACCACCGTGCACCACCGACCCCGCCGACTGGCGAGCAATGATAAATCGCAGCATTTACGTGTGTGCGCCGAGGCAAATATATCAGGCGGGCAAGGTCATAAATATTAATTGTGTTTCGGCGGAGGGATTGGCGGTGGGGCTGGGAGCACACTCCCATCATACTGCGAATAATTTCTAATAAATATTTTAGGGTTTTTATTATGGAGGAAAAGATTTAAAATGGGGAAAACTATTTATCCATTATTTATTGTTGCATTTTAAGTGGTTTTTGGGAGTAGCTAGGCGGAATTGTGAATGAAAAACAAATAGATTTGCATCAAAATTCTACATATGTATATTTATTATTTAAAGATCCATTTTATACATACACTTTAGCTTTAATATTTGAAGCTAAAATTACATAAACAAGGATTTGTAAGAATGCCTTAAGTATTTTCATGCAAAAAAGCAAATTCTACCAAGACTCTGGACATTAAATAACAATAATGAAGAATTAAGTCGAAACTTAGTGAAGAAACCATTTGCGACCCTTTAAATCATATATATTCTTGATCAGAATCAAAAACCGAATCGATCTAGCCGTGTTTGGAAGAAAACAAATTTTAATCAAATTTTCCAAAATTTTATAAGGGGTTACATTGTTGAAATTGTCAAAAAAAAAAAAAAAAAAAATTTTTTAAATCAGATTTTTGAAATTGTAATTTTAGTAAGCAGTATTATTACCCTAATGAAAACTAACACAAAACAGTTTTCCAAATTGAATTGAATGCTTTTTTGGCTTAGTTATGGAATTTTTAGGCTCTTATTTTTCATACAAAATTTTGATCTGAAAATGTCGATTTAAAGAGTGTTGCAGTATTACAGTGAAGTCCGTAAGATATTATGAATATTTTCCAATAACTCTCTAAATTCCTTTTAAATTAATAATATATGATTTTAAAAACCAAGATTTTTAATCGTATGCTTATCTTATCTTTATGCTGATCTTATTTATGATATATTTTGATTGTGGTCCTCTAATCCATTTCCCGAATATAGCTTATGATTTTGTTCTTAAGCTTAAGAATTTATTTGCCCTGAAATTTTATATATTAAATATTACTCTTATTAATTCATGTTTGATCTTAATATACAAATATGTTTTCACACTAAAAGACAATATATCTATAATTTTCCCTCTGTGCATGCCAGATTGGGGGCCAGGACCTATCCTTAGTTTGCATGTTCGCCCGTCTCATTCGACGTTGTTGTGGCCTGGCCTGTGGCTAGGTGTTGTTGTGCGCGTTCCCTGTTTTTATGCCATTATCAATCGATCGAACGCGAGCTGCATTTGCTTAGCGGTTTAAGCCCGAGCCGCGTTCCCGGGAAAATTGCTGGAAAATCGGACATCGCATATTGCTAATAAATATTCAGCTGCAGTGGATTAAGTTGTGTGTGTTTGTTGTCGTTCGTCCCGGTGACAAACTGTATCTAACAAATGTTTGCGGAGCAGGCCAGGCTAGGACAGGGCAGGGCACTAGACAGATTTCATTAGCCGGGTCGAACTTTAAGCCAGATTCAAGTGGCCTGCGGTCGGGAGTTATTCATAAGAGTGTGGCTGAAGTGCAGCTGTGATTAATATCCCAGGAATGCAGTTTATTGTTGCAGTTGCGCCACTGGTTGCAAGTGGGGGAAGGAAGGTAGTGCCACCAGGTTCTGGGGTCAGACACTGTCAGAAAATAAATACTTGTATATTAACGAGAGTGTGAGGATGCACAGAAAATAATTTATTAATAATCCTCATTATTATTATTTTCTATAAATTCAATTTCTTCGAGTGCACCAACTTGGTTAAGAGACTCTCGCATCTCTTTCTGAGGCCGCAAGGCGACGCAAATTTGTGTGCATTATATATTTTTTCTTTTTGCTGAATTTCTCTTGGGTTATTGCAGATATTTTCCAGCCGCAAAGGTTTTCCTCAGCTATTTTAGCTCAGTTATAAATTACGCCGGCCAAAGGCAGAGGAGTCATTCTCCTTCTTTCGAGAAGGCGGAGTGTGTGTATACACACACGGCCCCGCGTGTGTGTTGCATAATCTGAGTGCTGAAATCTTTGGCATCCACTCGCGAGAGGGATACGGTGGGGCATCTAGAACAATAGCCAGGGATCGCGGCGCACAATGGAGCACACCGAGTAGTGACCGCCACTCTCATAATAGAGTCATAAAATTTTAGTGCGCCGCTGAGCCCGCTTCGCTTTTCGGGGGAAACCCCCGTGGCGCCTCGCAACCGAAAGCCAGAGTCTTCGTCTCGCTTTGCTGGCCATTGTCCCGGCCATTTACTCGGCCCATAGAAAACATATAATTGTGATTAATTATACGACATAAAAATGCTTTAGATTCAACATTTTGATGCATTTATTAACCGAAAAATCACTTGAAATAAGCGGCTCTCGTCCATTTATTTCCTCCGCTGCTCTATTATCAGTCGTAATAAAAACAAAGTTTGCCTTTCGGTTTTGGGGGCGTGGCCTTAGCTGGATCGGTATTCAGCATTTATCGATTATCCACGATAATGCCCGAAATGTAAATAGGCAGTTGTGAAAAACGATAAGCATCGTTGAGATGCTATCAGGAGGCATCTTAGGGTTAAGTTTATTTGCGCTTCATGGCCTAATGGGATTTGCTATAGCTTTGGGTTTATTTTTATGGCAAGTAACTTGTTACTATACATAAATGTTACTGCAATTAATATATTTTAAATAAATAATAGAGGGCCTCGATGTATAAGCTTGGCTCCAGTAGATCTCCTCCTCCAGATGCAACTGTTTGCGACTCTTTTTCTAACTCCCCTGGCTGGGAGCTTAATTGAGTTCATACGGCGCATTTTTGATTGTCAGCAATGTCGCGGAACGGCGAACATTGCGGCCCAGGACGGAGGACAGGATGGACGCCGACAGGGAGCTCTCGCGACTCGCACAATGGAGCTCTGGAGCTGGAGCTCCCAGAGAGCTGGGGCATCGTTATCACGGGGAACATGGCAGCACATGGGAATTGCAGACTCCGCTCTTTCCTGTCAGAAGCGGCGGCTCTGGGCCGAAAAACAATGAATGGCATTGGGAGGCTGGGAGGACTCCAACTCCAACTCCGGCTCGTACTCGTACTCGGACAAGCAGAATCCCTGACAAGAGCAATCCATCCGCTGGTACTAGGAGGCACAAAGGCAAAGGCATTTCATGCTCATCAAATGCGTTGACATTGAACAATTGCGCGTAATGTTGTCGTACACTTGACAAGCGCGCAAATTGTAGTGCTACCTGTACTTGGGCCACCGCTCGAATCAAAGCGAAAGCTGCTCCACCAGACCGGGTCCAACTCCGACTCTGCCAACCCAATCTGAAACCCAATCCCCCATATCGATCTCCGTTTGGTCTAGCCGAAAACCAGCAGCAAACTGCGCTTTTTGATGGAAATTGGCAGAGTTGTCTGTCTGCGACGACGTCTGTTTGTGGCCTTAATGAAGCCAACGACGACATTCACCGGACAAGCTTCGATTTCTTGGCTCTCCTCCTATATATATATCTTTTATATACATATATCTCCTTCATGTCGAAGTACTGGCCAAATATGCAGACAAGTCCTCGCTAAATGCTATCCAGATTAATAAGTCCTCGGTGTGGGTGATGTGGAGTACACACAAGGCGATGCGATAGCAAAAGTCAAAAGTCAGCTCCGGGCGATATGTGTACCAGGAAACACTGAAAAAAAATCCGTAAAGATGCCTTAGTTATTTTAAAGTTTTTTCTATTTCCCAACTTGATAAAAAATAAGTTTTCCCATCAGATATTTGAGAATTTTCGTGCAGTACCTAGTCTTAACGCTGCACCTTCGACATTGTGGCTACCAAATTTGGCCAAGGCAATATTTTGTTCGTTTGGCAGGCCGTTAGAGATTTGCAAAAAGGTAAAACTGTAAAATGCATTTCGGCCTGCCTTAAATGGAGCGGGGAAAACCAACCAGAACGCACAAAAGATAGCGAGGGAAAAGTGCAAACATTGTTGCATTTCCCGCGCGTCTCGCGCAAATTTGCCTTTCAATGCGAGCCGAAAGCTGCAACTGGATTCAGAGTCGGAGTTGGAGCTGGAGTTGGAGTCCACTATTCGAATTGGACTCGGAATCGGAATCGAAGGCACCACAACAATGGCCCAGGCAGAACCCATTGAGCAGGAGGAGGAGGAGGAGTTGAGACTCGGCCCGATAATCGCCTGCTACTGACTGCTGCTCCCATGATTTTTAAGTGGACGGTATTCCGGAGCATTTCGCCAATAATTGCCGCTGCAAATATGAGTCTTTCCATTTTGCATTTTCCTGCATTTTCCTGCCTTTTCCCAGCCTCGACAGCAGCTGCAAAATCCTCTGGTGCAATTGCCGTAATGAGCTGTGAGTTGCTGCGTTATTTATTCAGTAATTCCGCACCTTCGAATGCGTATAAAAAGGTTCAGGATATCAGGGCAATCGGCACATTCAAGTTGAAAAACCAAGCTGGTAGAGGTACACAGTCAGAAAAATGGGTCGATTTTGGCAAGAAATGGCGGAACCCTTTGTCGATGGCTGGAGGGCATACAAGAACCCAAGGCTTCAGAGGCAGCATATAACTACTTTTTATACCAGGAATATAATGAAGTGGGTATAGTGCCATTAAAAAACAAAACGATGATAATCATTTACAAAACTGATTAATATATACTTTTTAGAACCATGGGACTGTACACGAATTCCGAGGAGCGTAGAGACCCTAAGAAAGTGGCCTGGCATTATTTTATATACTTTCAGTGCCTATTTAGCTATGGTTCTTTGATTACTGGAGTACTTGAATCCATGGGAGATCTGGTGAATCTGGGACGTGATCTGGTTTTTGCCATAACGGTTTGAAATGAATATGTTCAATATTATATTCAAATACTCAATCTTTCCTCTATAGTTCCTATTTATCATACTCAGAATAGTCTTTTTCGGCTTCTATGCCGATGACTTTGATGAGGTAATTGTTGCCCTAGATGAATTCTATCGCAGGGAACCCATCAGTTCTGCAGTTGAGGAAGTAAAAGCCACAAAGAGATTTCACTTTCTGGCGCTTTCAGTCATACTAACGCTCTGGAGCAGTTTCATTGTGGCTTTTTGTGTGATAAAGATATCGACGCCTTTTTGGATGGAGTCGCAGATACTACCATTCCATGTGGTCTGGCCCTATCAGCTGGACGATCCCTCGAAGCATCTGATTTGTCATGTGATTATATATTTTCACCAAGCCACTATCTTTACGTATCTGATGGTTTGGCTGTGCTTTGAGGAGAACATGGCGGCGTCTATATTTTTTGAGATGACAACTGCCTTGAAAGTACTCGGAATAGAACTCAGGAGTCTCCAGGAGTTTTGTAAGGGTGATGATGTGCTGCTGGCCAGGGAACTGAAACGTTTGACACAGCTTCATCAGAGTATTATTCAGTGAGAGAGTTTTTTAATTAATATACAAAATGGATATATTTTCAGTGGCATACTTACAGTCTCTCCGATCGCTTGAATCACATTTTCAGTAGTACCTTCATAGCGCAAATAATTGTGAATTTTCTGCTAGTCTCTCTGTCGGCCTTTGAGGTCTTGGTGGCCAGGAAGAACCCCAAGGTGGTTGTGGAGTACCTTACTATAATTTGTATGACACTGGGACACCTCTCCTATTGGTCGAAATTCGGGGATATGTTGTCAGAGGAATCCATGGAGGTGGCCAACGCAGCCTACGAGGCCTACGATCCGCGGTTTGGCACAAAGGCGACTCATCGGGATATTGGTTTGCTCATCATGAGAGCCCAAACGCCGTTGATTATCAGAGGAAGACCTTTTCCACCATTTAATATGGAGAATTACATGTCTGTGAGTGTTTTACTGTCAAGCGTTATCATTTTCATATATAAAGATATATTTCGTTGACAGATACTAAATCAATGCTACTCCATTTTGACTCTGCTGATGAACACTTTGGAGTAGTCACAAAAATCACAGCTTAAATATTATAAACTACCTTGGATTATAGTTAAACTTGTTGGGATTTAATAAATAGTGGTGGCTCTCGATTCCGCTAACAGCTTTATTAAATCTCTCATCGACGATATCTACAGTTTTGGGCCACTCGGAAGAAAGTTCTGCACTTTATGCACGCGACCCCGAAAGGTCGACTGTGCTGCAAGTTACGAGTTGCAAGTTGCAGCAGCAGCAGCAGCATCTTGGCAATCCCAAGTGGAAGTGGAATAGTAGTCTTTGCCTTCCAAGATTGGGCTCATAAATCGCGCAACTGTGTGCGGATCCCGAACTGGCAGCTGGAAGCTGGGTGCTGCCTTTCAGTCGACTTGCTGGCTGACTGGGCTCCGTCATTAGCTTGATTGAATCTTATTGTTGGCAATTAACCTTCGCAGCGATGGGGCCAAGTGTCTGAGGTCTCCGATCCTGACATTTTGCTGAGTCCGTTCCGCTCGGAATAACTTCATTTGCCGCCCCAGGGCCTGTGCCACTAAATGGCATAACATGTCATCTGCCTGCTGGGCCGCCGCACTAATTGCCAGCGACAAGTAGTCTCAATTAATTAGCGAACGCCAGCGGATTAGGCCAATATCCAATATCCGATCCGAGATCCCAGGAGCTCTTTCAAACATTTGCATCTGCACGAATGCAAAACCTGCCCCTGCTTGGCCACGAAAAGTAAAAAAGTCTCGCATAATGCACATCGAATTTCACTTTGTTGCAAGGAGATTGAAAAACAGTGGTCCCTGGGTGGCTATTTATACTTTAATAAAATTATTAACAAGAACAATTTATACACTTAGAATGGACAGATTAAGCAGATGTATTACTTGATTTTGCTGCTCTTTATGATTGTAATTTATTATGAATGCAATGAATGCTTTTCCACAAGAACTCAGATCTGATTACTACTTCAATTTTCAAGTATTGTTTATGAATTTATTAATTAATTAATCTATTAATTCATCCAATTAGTTGATGCCACTGTACGGCGACAAAGTTGAACAGCAAACGATTTGTCAGACGGCAGTTTCTTTTCTCTTTGTGGCTCATTTAAGAGCCCACTTCCTACTTATGTTTGAATATTCGCTGCAGCAATTGCAATTGCATTCGTGGTGCCTGTGTTTATTCGATGACTCCTTTTGAGGTCTGCCCCCTGCTCTTCAAACCTCCGAGATGCCCAACTTCATAGCCGTTTTCCATCTAAATTGCATGCAGCGCCTTTGTCATGACATGACAGCAGCCTAATTCATCATTATGGCTACACGCGGGACACACGGGACATGGGACTGGGGACATGGGACATAAGACACGGGACTGGAGTCTGTGAGGATTGAGAGAGTTTTGTCGCGACTTTCGCTAGACATGAGATGCGGTTTGCATCTGGGCAGCGATCTCCTCGACCGTGATTCATTCATGCGCAGTAGTTGGATTTCTCGCTTGCATGCAGCTGGAGCTTGGCTGGAGCTACAGCCACGATGATAATGATGATGCATGCTTAGCTGGCTCGGGAGCTGGTTAGGAGAGCTGGGATGGGATGCGATGGATGCACTTTAGAAGGCAAAAGTGCACTGTCGATAGGCTGATGATTCGCCTGTCGACATTCAACGAGCCGGGCCAAGACGACGACATTATCGTTGGTAGAAGTCAGGCAAATCAGGGAAGTCGGGATGTTGGGATGTTGGGATGTTGGGATGTTGGGAAGTTGGGATGCTGGGCTGTCGGAGATGTCAGTGAGCTCAGCCTCTAGACCCGAACCCGCGCAGTTATTTGTATGGTTTATTATCTGCGCACAATATCGCGCTCTGTGGGGGCTTGGGAAGTTATTGAAAGACCAAAGACCAGGCCCAGGCCCAAGCCCCTTGCGAAGTGAGGTGAAACTTCTGAGAGACGCACAACTCTGGCACTCTGGCTTTAAATGGGTTCAAATGGAGTCAAATGCACGGGGGCAAAAACAGACTTGTATCAAAGGACAACATACTAAGAGTGCTTCAAAGACTCCCAAGAGGTTATTTCTCACTACTTTGATTCAAGCCCAAGACTAATTATATTTAGTTGTGAGCTTCTTCAATGCTCCCGATTTGCGCTATTTGCGCTGCAGCCAAGCGTATTAACTCTCCGGATCCTTATCGTCTGGCCAAAATCGTGTGACATTGTTAATCGTCTGAGGGGAATAACCGACCCAGTTTGTCAGCATTCGTAAACCCAATTTGCCGGCATGCGCCAATTCCCGCGAAACACAAGCGAGGAGGTGTCAGACATTCGGTATAGACTTTGTTATACGGATTCAGATTGGGCCTCGGCCTCTTAATCATCGAAGCGCAGAAGACAGGACAAATGCCATGCACGACTTCATTATTAGGCAGTCCCATATGCACATCATCACCAGGAGCTCGTGACATGGCCTCCAGTCCAGATTGGGGCTAGTCTGATTAGTTTTCCCTCTCAACCGACACGAAAATGTCCCTCAAATTTGTTTAGTTCAGCGGTGAAGGAGTTGTCGGAGGCGATGGAGTCGTCGTCCAGTACAGAGACCCATTAAATTCCTCCTCCTGGCTTGGCTGTTGCTAATGAAGTCATAAAACCGCATGACATTTTCGATGCCTCCGCGGATCTCACTTTTCCAGAGAGGTCTTCCCTTTCCCCCTCGACTTGTATTGTGTGGTGTCTCCGGCTGTCCTCCCGGAGCTCAATCGTTCCAATATGCAAATGTCCAGATCGCCCGTCGCCACCCACAGACTGGGAAGAAACCAGGGGGACCTCCCTACGACCGATCCATATGACCATATGTCCGTATCGGGCCCGAAATCTTTCGCTTTCGATTAAGCTGAGCCGAGGTTGGGCCTTCCAAACAGTCAAGAGCTAAGAGCTTAAAGCCAGCTACCCAGCCAAGACTTAGGCCCGGCTTTATCGACTGGAAGCTGCGAGCTGCGAGCTGATTTTCTGCATTTCATTTCGGCTCTGGGATTCGTGCAGGAAATATGCAAAAATGCTGCAATCTGCGGACAGCACGTTCGGAGGGCCTTTCGTGTCATAAATGGCATAAATATTCCTTCTTTCTTGACCGGGCAACCTAAATATTTTAGCAGGCAGCAGCACTCCAGTGCTGCTTTTCTTGATTGTCTTCATAACAATGCCAACTTTCACTTCCTTGGGGATCGTTGCGATCCCCAGCGAAATTGAAATTAAATCGTTTTTCATTTTTATGAGCTGGAGAAGGATTATTGATGGTCGTTCGTTTGAATATGGGAATGTATATAGTAACTGATTTCGTATGTAAATTTGTAGCAGCTGTGGTTTTCTCGCACTGTAATTACATTCAGAGTTATTATATTTTATGGCCTATTAGCACTTCTTGGATCAATATACTTATAATCAGTTGCGGGTAGCAGGCCTTTTAGTTTTATGGAACCACTTGAAATGGCTAGTTTGAAACGATTTTTAAGATTTTATGAAGAAGGATGGAAGGTCGTAAGGAATCCACAATACGAAACCGAACATCTTGTCCCATACTACTTTCGAGAACAATTAAAGTGTGTAATTTAAAAAGGAAAGGTGCTGAACATGGAACTAATGTATATATATTTACATTCTTAGGGCCATGCTCTTGTACACCAACTCAGAGGAACTCCGGCTGCCCAACCGAACTCTTTGGTACACCTTTGTCCTGATTACACTCTCTTTATTTTTCACTACACTATGTTATGGCTTGACGGAATCGATGGGAGACATTGTGGAGATGGGACGAGATCTGTCGTTTATCCTAGGGGTTCGTTTGAATAGGTTACATTCCGGAATCAAATGAGAACTAACCACAGTCATTCTTGCAGTTTATCTTCATTTTCTTTAAAGTCGTTTACTTCTTTTGGTATGCTGATGGACTGGACGAAGTAATTGATGCTCTAGATGCTCTAGGTCATCACTGGCTGAAGGAAGGTCCTGGTTCCGAAGAAGCCCGAAAAACTAGGCATTGGCACTTTACTCTGGTGGTTTTGCTACTTACAACTTGGTCTTTCTTTATGGCCGTGTTTCTAATATTGGTTATAACATCCCCATTGTGGGTGGTTCAGCAGAATTTGCCCATCCACGCAAAGTTTCCCTTGGACTTGCAAAACAAGTTTAAGCACCCGAAGACCAATGTTCTTTGCTATTTGTATCAGATCCTTGTGATCCCTTACTGTCTGGTTTGGCTCGTGTGGATGGAGGGATTGTCTGTGTCCATTTACTGGGAAATTACCTGTGCCATCAAGGTGCTCTGCATCGAACTTCGTTATTTGTCCAAAAGATGTCATGGAGATGGGCAGCTGCTCAGGAGGGAAGTAAACCGATTAATAGGGCTCCACCAGCATATATTGAAGTGAGTAGTACGAAATACAAAAGATGCTTAAAACGAAATAAGAAATATTTCAATAGCATTCTAAAACGCACCAATGAAGTCTTCACTGGCACTCTCAAGATGCAGGTGATAGTCAACTTTTTCCTGGTCTCCCTGTCGGTTTTTGAGGCCTTAATTGCCCGAAAGGATCCCAAGGTGGCCCTCCAGTTTGGAGTCCTCATGCTGCTCGCCTTGGGACACCTATCGTTGTGGTCCACGTTTGGAGATATAATGTCGCATGAGTCTTTGAATATTGCTCAGGCTGTCTATGAGGCCTATGATCCGCACTCGGGATGCAAAGAAGTTGCTCGAGATCTATGTTTTATGATTTCAAGAGCCCAGCTTCCTATGCAAATGGTGGCGAGTCCTTTTCCGGCTTTTAATTTAATAAACTATACCGCGGTAAGTTGATTTTTAAAGTCTAGACTCTATAAATCGGATATGCAACTGCAAACTGAAAGTGTTTGCTGACTTAGTTAGCTTCCTTTTTTAATAAGAACTATTGAATTTACTTTTTTAGATACTGAATCAATGTTATTCAATTCTGACGCTGCTGTTAAATACTTTGGATTAACGGAAGAAAAATGTTTATAATATTTAAATATTTATATTATATATTTAAGGAGCGAGGACAAATTAATAAACGGGAGATTCCATTATGTGCAATGTATAATTGAAGCAGCTGCAACATTCTCATCCAATAATTGCTTCCAGGCCATTAAATACATTAGTGACCCATTAGCACTCTTTGAGTTAATAAAATCAGTTGCTAGTTGTATGCTTTACCTTGTTGAAGGCAGGATTTCACGTGAAATGGACAATCTACAACGTTTTCTACAATTTTATAAGAAAGGATGGAACGCATTTTCAAATCCACAAGAAGATCCACTGCATATTTCTACCTACTTTGCTCGAGAGCAGATGAAGTCTGTGGTTTTGCAGAAACTGTGTCGTTTTTAAAAAACTAATTTATATATTTCCATAGGGCATTGGTATTGTACACAACCTCTGTGGAACGCAGTCTGCCCTACCGATCCCTTTGGCATTCTTTTATGGTGCTTATAGTGTCTTTAGTTTTCTCGGCAATGTGTTATGGCTTGACGGAATCCCTGGGAGACTTGGTGAATTTAGGTCGCGATCTTGCCTTTATTATTGGGGTGTGCAAAGCTTAAATATAGTAAACAGAGATCATAGGTAATCGAGTTCCTCTTTGCAGGCATTCTTTATTTACTTCAAGCTCGTTTACTTCCATTGGTATGCCGATGGACTGGATGAGGTTATCGATGACCTAGAGGCATGTCGTCACTGGTTAAGAGAAGGTCCTGGTTCCGCAGAGGCTCGGTCAGTCAGACACTGGCACTTTTTGGTGATGTTTCTGTTGCTCGTTGTTTGGTCGTTTTTTATGGGAATGTTTGTGATATTGCTTGACACATCACCGCTGTGGGTGGCCCAGCAGAGCTTGCCCTTCCACACGATTTATCCCTTTGAATGGCACATCAAATCCAAGCACCCCATAGCCCACGCCCTTAGCTACGTGACACAGGTCCTGGTACTCTCCTACATCCTTATTTGGCTCTTGGTCATTGAATCACTATCGTTGTCTATATATTTTGAGATCACTTCTGCCATCAAGGTTCTGTGCATCGGACTTCGTCACCTGCCTGAAAAGTGTCACGGCGATAGTAAGCTATTGAACAGGGAAGTTATCCGATTGGTTGGGTTCCATCGGAAAATAATAAGGTGAGTGATGGGAAACTCAAACCGACTTACGAGGAATTTAAGTGTATTTTTCACAGCATCTTAGATCGAACCAACGAGGTTTTTCACGGCACTCTTAAGATGCAGGTGATTGTCAACCTGTTCCTGGTAACCCTTTCGGTTTTTCAGGCCTTGGTTGCCCGAAAGGATCCCAAGGTGGCCCTCCAGTTTGGAGTCCTCATGCTGCTCGCCTTGGGACATCTATCGATGTGGTCCAAGTTCGGGGACCTTGTGTCGCATGAGTCCTTGGACATTGCTCAGGCTGCTTATGAGGCGTACGATCCGTGCTCAGGATGTGACAGAGTTAACAGGGACCTTTGTTTCATAATTCAGAAAGCGCAATATCCTATGCAAATGAGGGCAAGCCCTTTTCCGGCCTTTAATTTAATAAATTATTCGGCAGTAAGTGAAATATTAAAGTTTGAAAACCTGATTTGAAAAGTGTATATTATTATTTTTGTTTAGATATTACATCAATGCTATTCAATCCTAACGCTGTTGCTAAATACCATGGATTAATGCTTATCTGAAATAAAAAATAACAAAAATAAAGTAAAACATAAGATTGTAATACGATTTTGTTTATTTTCTTTTGTTTGATTTTCTTTTTATTATTATTTTCGATTTGTATTTTGTGTGCCTAAATTATTTCTGCACAATTTAATGAATTTTCTGCGAAAACTATGATGCATATTTGCTTTTGTTTTGTTTCGTTTACATTTCCACGCAATTAGTTGGCTAATCTAAACATTGGAACATTTTGAGTTGCTCGTAGTAATTTTTTCGCTCCGCCTCCATTCATTTCCATTATTTATTATTTACTGGATGTTTGAGTTTTTAATTATAAATGCTAATTACGATTATTGTTGTTGCGGGACAGATGTAGAGAGAGGGCGATAGAGGGTGCGTTTAATGAATAAATATTTAAAATACAATATTGCAGTTGTTCTTTCATCTGGCTAAACTAAATAAATCGAATTAATTAACTGGCTTAATCATACTTTTTCTCTCATTTGTACATAGCAACGTTTGTGACTTAAATGACTAGTCTTTGGTTGTGTGTTATTTATTATTTTTAATATAATTACGTTTTAAATGAAAACTTGAACTTTGCGTTTGCTGTGAAGAGGAATGTTTAGCTTTCGTTTCGCTTGGTTTTATTTATTTTTTGTTTTTCTTTCCGATAATGCAAATACTGCAGTATTTAGTTGAAGGAGAAACAACTTGGTGTGGCACGCTCCCTTAGTTAATTGCTAATTGGAGCGGATTGCAAAAATTATTTACAATTTATGTACAATGGCGCGAGTTTCCGTTTACGTTTATTTTTTGTATTAATGTTAAGTTTGTTAAGTTTGATTGTTTTAAGTACTTTTTTGTTGGCTGCTGTTGTTGGAGTTTACATGTTTGATATGCTTGTCATGAGCTTCTGTTTTTGCGAGTGCCTCTATTTGAGAAATGCAAATGCTATTAGCTGCTTGAGCGCGTAATTTGATTAATGTTTTTAAGGATGATTCTGCGAGTTTATACTTTCTAAAATATGTATTTATTTTCGCTTCAACTTTGCTTTATCCTGCAAACCAGCTTGTGGTTGTTAGCTCTCCTTTCTCGCCGGGAGATACACTTAACCACACTCCACAGCTCAAAGCCGAAAATGTCCATTTAAACAGCGCCAGACAAGTGGTAAAGTGGCCGGGACTCGACGTGGGGCATACCCCTTAAAGGGGCTTACTAAAGCCCAAGGGGATTGTGTCGAACACGCCCGAAAACTGCGATTTCAACTTGTGGCAGTGCACACGCCCTTTATTTGCTTTAATCCGATCAAATCCCTGTTTCGATGCCGAGCGGCAATAAAGGATAAAACGTGGCTGGCATATTAAGGATATGTGTGTGTCGGGCTCCTTTTCTCTCTCTCTCTGCCACCCGTTCGATAGTTTGCGAACCGGAAGCGGAAGTGACACTAAATTCGTTTCGTTTGGGATTCCTTCTCGGATGAACTGGCGCAAAATAAACTCCACAAAATTGTTACGTGTAATCCCCTTTATGATCTGACGCCGCCCGTGTGCTCCGCATCTTAAGTGGCTGAAGGACGACCTCTACTGCTGCCATATCCAGGAGCAGTCCTGGCCCGCCTCTCAGCTGGCTATGACCATGGTAGCCGCTGTGGCTGCCGGGGGCCACTGACTGGCTCCAGCTGCCTCCCTGGCCATGGGCGTGGACTCCACGGAGGACAGGGAGCTGCTGCTCTGAGCCGAGTGCAGGACCTGCGGCTGGTGATATTCCGGCTCCTCGTAGGCCGCATCCTCGTCGCAATCCTGCTGCTGCTGCTGTGGATACAGCGGCATGTGATGATGCTGATGGTGCTGGTGGGGATGATGTAGGTGCTGCTGCTGCTGCTGCTGCTGCGGCTGGAAGGGATGGAAGTAGTGACTCGATGGGGCAGAAGCAGCAGCCTGGCTTCCAGACTGAGCCGTGGGCGACTGTGGATGCTGTAGTGTCAGCGGTAGGGGCAGCACCACCGGCAGTGGCTGCAGTCCCCGGATACTGTCCGCCGGGTGTGCCGTGTAGATGTTGCTCCGCCTCAGGTGGTTGTTGTTGATGTTGCTGCTGCTGCCGCCATGATGATGATGGTGGTGGTGGCCCTGATGGTGGCCAGCAGCTCCTCCCGCCGCTCCACCGGCGCCGCCATTCGCACCATTCAGCCCATTGGCGTGGGCGCGCTTGTTGCGTGACCACCACTGCACGTGCGTGTCTGGAGGGGGAAATCCCAGGAATGGAGCCGGAAAATATAGAGGAGCAGAGCAAAAAGAGGGGCAGGTGGTTAGAGGGCTTGCGGGAGCACAGTTGCGACAACAGACGCCGACTGTTGTGAGAGTCAACACCGGTTAAAAGGGTCTGGCAAATGGCAAGCAAAAGGGGTACAATCGGGCACAGTGGGTTATATTTGTTGCAAAAATTAATTCAAATATTTTAAGACGACCAAAACAGTCTTTTTGAAGTATTTTATGTCCTAGAATCCTTTAAATTAACTTCTATATTCGTCTGTTTTATTTTAATTGAAAATTTCTTCTACGAAATATCATGGAACTTTTGTTACTATGGATTTAGTTTGGTTTAGTCCTGTGCCTGTCACAAATCTTTCGTTTTTAACCACTGTGCCTGCTATGTTTGCTTCGCCGCCCACCGGTGTTGGCCATGTTGACCATGTTGGCCATGTTGGCTGTGTTGGCCATGTGAGTACTCACCGTTGCGATTGTTGGAGGACTTTTTGCGCCGGCAGCGCACCACGGCAATCATGATGATGGCGCCTAGCAGCGCCGACAACACGGACACGATGATCAACGTCAGTGGCCAGCCCAGTTCTGTGGCCTTTTCTGCAAAAACAAGGCAAAGACGATAGGGGAAAACAGTTAGTAACGGTTGATACGCAGCATCCAAAAGTACACCGAGGAAAATATACTATAATATTTAATATTTTTTCTTCAATTTCTAACAAGAATTAATAGGTAATAGTTTATTTTTGTTAAGAAGTTAAATACATTTCAATTAGAAATCATTCGACTTAGTAAAAGGAAAGGTTTATTTACTCCTTAAGCTGGAAAAACATGTAGTATCTTTCCCCTTAGTTTTCTAGTAATTTATGCAAATTCCTCGTTCACTCACCTATCGTTCCCTCAAACATGAAGGTGCTTTTCGTGGGCATTGCCCAGGAGCAGAGGTCGCATGTGGTCAGGCCGTCACTCAGGACGGGCTCGTCCACAAAGAACGGCGGCCGTGGCGGGGGCGGTACGAAGCGTCCGTTCCAGAGGCCATTCTCGCTGGCATCGAAGGCCATTGGGGAGCCGAAAAGGTCGTCATCGTCGTCAAAGAGGTCGAAGGTCACGTCGCCAAAGCTGCTCAAATCCTCTGCCGAACTGCTGGCCACAAGACTCTCGATTCGCGGGGGACTAAAGGTGGGAAAGGTGGACTCGGAGGCGGATGAGGAAGCGGATACTGAGAGTGATACGGATGCAACTTGATTTACAACGTAACTGAGACGTGCATCGTTGCCACCGCCACCGCTGCTATTGCCTACGGATGGCATTTTCCTGGGCTTTTCCGGGCTCCTCGATGGCGTAGACTTTTCCCCGGAATCCTTTACTGCCACCTCACACTTATTGCCAGTTATCGCCTTTGTCAGCCGCTACTCCTCCTCTTCCAGCTGGCTGCTCATGGTGAAGGCTTCGCTAGGCTTTTACTCTGCAAGGAAAATGCAAACGGAAAGAGTTAGTTTTGCCAATTAAATCCTTAATTGCGCTGTCAGTGTTTGCTAGGAGAGAGACAGAGAAGAAAGGAGGACAAAAGACAGCAGAAGAGAAGCTTTCACATTTCTCACAAGCAAGTGTATCCGTATCTGTATCTCTGAGTGGTTCTAATCCTGGCCACGTTAACATTCCCTCTCGCCTGTCAGCAATCGTTTCTCAATGGCTTCTCTTCCTTCTTTTTTTGCAACCTATTTCCAATTTGTATTGGCAAGTCCCTCGCCTCCCCCGCTACGCTTGTCGTTGGAAATTGAATTTTTGAGCAGTATCTGCCAGATACTTGGAGTATCTCCACACACACACACACATACCGGAGAGGATGTGGATAGGACACACATGGCAGGCAATGCTAACGAGAACTGACAGCTTGACAGCTCGATATCAGGCTAGAAGTCAGCATTAGTTACAGTTGCGAGTCCTCGACGTCAGACAATCCGAATCCCCCGAATTTGCTTTATTAAAAACATCCTATCTCTCCTTGTGGAACTTGATTTGCAGCCTCCTCCGAAATAATCCTGATAAATTAATACTAATTTGCGAGTAAAAGATACAGACTCCCCGGGCAGGTGAAAATCAAGCAGAGTGCCAGTGCTTCGTTACTCGAATGCTTCTCCAGCTCCTCCAGCTCCAAAGCAAATAAATCTGTTTCACTCCAGTTGGCAACCCTTTCACAAACTTCTGCCTCTCCCACCAGTAGCTTCCTTTTTCTCCTTTTTATTTTTTTTGGGGGGGATTTTCTTTCCAAGTTTAAACTACTCTTTTTCCTGCCGTTACCAAGCCATCAGAGGCCGACACGTTTCAGACATTAGCCGCCCTGACTGCCGAAATTTTCAACGCTTTTCGCGAGGAGTAAATGGAAAATGCATTCCGGATTGAGGTCCACAGTAAAATAAAGAAAGCGTAATATGAAAATTTGAAGGCCTACAGAGAGAGGAAAATATTTATTTATCACCTCGAACTTTTAGTTGTGCTATATATATTTATTTTTATAAATGTAGATCCTTCTTGACATTCTTTCTCACTCTGTACTTTTGCCACGCGCTTAATTACAAAAATATACGTATGGCACACTCGTTGCTAAATAAAAAGGCATAAAATACTGAGTAGAGTTTTATGCCACTTGCTCAAAATAATACTTCATATGCAGAAATGCATCCGCTGAAATTCTGGCCAGGACCGAGAGCTTCGAGTAAGCGATATTTAGTCATTCTTGAAAATGGGAAAACGTGAGGCGCATAAATTGACGCCACCGCGGACCCAAGAGTTGCCTGGAAAACTGAGCTGAGCTGGGCTGGGGCTTCACGCAAGCGAAAATTGCGAATCCAACTGCGAATCTTTGGCTTCATTTCTGTATGAATGAATGAACGCCGGGGTCTGCAAGGAGTTTTCTGGGGGGATTTTGTGTATGTGCTCCGGTGATGGAGAGATACCAACCCGAGCTGTGTGGGTGGCGGCAATTCTTCTCCTTCTACACCGCTGACTCGGGCTATTAATAAATTTATTTTCGCTGCATGCTTGAAATAAATTGTGGAGTCACGTGAGCCGTGAGCTGTGAGCTGTGAGCTCAGCGCGCTTTGATTTGCCTTTGACGGGAGGACAGGAGGCTTGAGGTAACCCGGCCAAGCTCCTCCGGACATGGCAATCCGGCGACAGCTGTCAGCTGCCAGTGCGTGGGTTCCATTCTCCCCCTGAAAACCTCTTCCAGCCATCTGGCAACTGGAACTCCCCCCATTGGCAACGGTCTTCCAATTGAATGTCCAAAAGCGCGTCTTCAGTTTCAATCGGTTTTGCGTGGAAACGTGCCCGCCGGCGGCTTCCTCTGTTTGCCAATTGAATGGAGGTTGAGTTGAGTTGAGCTGAGCTCGGATGAGGAGGAGGTGGAATTGGTGGCACCGCCCACTACCATCCAGAAAATCAACAAACAGGAAAACCCTCAAAAGCGCAGTTGCTAACGCAGTGCCGACCATAAAATACCCTAAAAAAAAATACCTAAAAAATGTTTCTTTTTATGAAACTCTTTTGTTGAAATAAATTGAAAATGGGTATAAAGCTTGAGCGAACTTCAAGTCATAAATCTCTATATTTATTTCCATAGTGGCCTAAGGGCATATTGATAACTAGAAGCGGCTTTAAATGTATTTACTATTTTCCTAGTCTCTTGTGGTTTCCTATACCATATACCCCTTCTAATACCCCTTGTAAAAATCGAATATTAAACCATATTTCGTGGCGCAACAATCGATATTCTCGCGAATTCACGCATCGCCGAGATGCGAAAAGCAATTACACATGTCCTATTCAATTCCAGGCAGCCATTCATCGATTCAATATTTATATTTTCGCCCCAACTGCCTCCGCTGGAAGTCCTCGCTCCCCGATTCAGCTTTTTAATTAGTGCGAAACGTTTGTACATTATTTTCATTTATGATTCGCTGGTCCACTTTTATTTGCACTCAAATATGAGCATGTAGAAATTAATATTGTAGCCAGCAGAGGGGAAAGTTTTTGTACAAAATAGTTGAGAGAATTGCCAAAATGTTTGCCATGCGAGAGAGTTGGGTTTTCATTTAACGCAGAAATGTGCAGGGCAGAACGCAGCATCCCTCCCCGGACAACTTAATTACCTAAAAATGTGAGCGAACTAATTCCAGGCTCAGTGGGGGATTCACATTCAAAGGCCTTCAACTGCACCCAAAAAAGTAAAATGTTCGGAAAAAAATAAGCGATATTTCAGGGCATTTAATTAAAGGTTTTAATCGGGGGAATTATTTATTGAAAATGCCCAGTGATAAGCGAGAGGAAATAAATAAAATGGAAACGCATTTACAGGCTGCTTAAAGCCACAAAAGGTCAGGCGTGTGGGCCAGATGTGAGGTGCTTTAAGCCAGGAAGTCAGGCCATCCATGGCCACCCTCAAAAATTGTTCTATTTCAAGCTCGAAGTCAGGAGGACACCGACGTGATGCTGAGAACGTGTCCAGACTAAATGCTCCGGATAATTTGTTCTAATAATGAAGAGGAAGCTGCCTTAAAATAATTGAGTCAACTTTGTTGGCCAATGTAATATCATTTGGTCGAAATTAAGAGGGAGAGATACACTCTACTATTCCCATGCATGAAAATTGAAATTTTATTCAAATGTCCAGTCTCCGGGACAAGTACTCAGCGAGGCAGATAAAAGTGACAGCTTTCGTTGGATTTACATAAATTATGAGGACGAGATCTACGACGGCCCCGAAAAGAGAAAAGGAAAACAGAGAAACATATATCCAAAATGAGTTGATTTGTATGCGCGACTGACTGAACGAAATGGAAACTAATAGAGTTGTATAACGAGTTGGAGAGTGGGGAAAAACTGGTCATTGGTGAACTGGTAAGGAAAACCGCAGGGCCTGCTCTTTATTTTTATTTTCCAAGCCATCAGCAGCTGATAAACTCAGCGTTTTTATTGCCAATTCAAATTCAAATTGAAATTCACCGAATGTGAAATGCACGAGGCCTTGGAAATTTCTCTGTGGGATCGATGCCAAGCGATGCAATGCGATTCGATGCGATCGATAGATCGATTTTTTGATTTTGATTTTGAAATAACCCTAATGAAGTTGAGAGATAAGATTGAAGATTTCGTTTTACAACTTGGTCTTGGTCTTGGTCTTGGGATTAAGTTCAAATGGAAATAAACATTTCTGTTTTTCGGAGAAGACAGTTAAGATAAGGGCTAACGATGGCATAGAACTTGTTGTCTAGACTTTATAGCTACGCTTGGGGGTTTATCTAGGGAGATAAGTATATAGAAAGTACATTTTAAAGAAGTATTCATTAAATATTCCCCTCTTTTCGGAAGGGAATTGTTAATGCTAGTTAATGCTGCCTTGGCTTATGTCAAAATTGATGAAACTCCCCTGCTACTCTAAAGGAAAGCCAGAGGATTTTGAGCTGCTGTGGTTCCCCCAGATTTTCTTGAGCATAGCCACACACAGCGTGTGGGAGCTACTCCCTGGTCGTTCCCAGATTCATAATTTTCAACAAACAAATCGCTTTATAATCCCTTTTCAAACACACTCTTTCCCCACGCCGCTTGGCTTCGCTCTAATCCCGAGCTGTCAATAAGACATTAATGCCTCTCTTCTACTCCTAAAGATCGAGTTACAAAAAGGACAACCTCACACACGCACACACTCGAGACGAGAGAACACATTTTCCCTTTACCATGTTCCATTTTCCTCATTTTCCTCATTTTCTTAACACTTGTTGAATGAGAGAAAAGGGCAAGCAGGCACTTGAAATATTTTAAGGGCTTCTCCCATTTCAATGCATATTTATAATAGATTTTATTCTAGCATTTAATAAACAGCCAGGAACTGGGAATGGCTTTGTATATAACTCAGAAGTTATGACTCTCCGGAGCTGGGGTTTCTTTCATTTTCATTTTCCCTTTTTCCATTCCAACTGGCAAGTGTCTAATGCAATTTGCTTGCCAACGAACTCAATAAAGGCTGTCCTGGAGGAACAAGGGAGGAGCTGGGATGCGGGAAGCTCCTTCAGGAAGGAGCTGGGACCAGAGCCAGAGCCACAGCTCCTGCCTTGATAGATTCCCCCGGACAGCCGCGGGCCACACACGCGCAGAAGGCAAAAAAGGAAGACTTCTATACAGACCTCACCTCACCTTTAACTCTGGCCACTTTTCGCAATCATTTTTCTTCTTGGCACACACACACAGTGGAGCTTGCTTAAAATCTTTTTCGAGACAGCTTGGACTCTAGCTGAATCCCTACTGTACCTGCAGCCAGAGGCTAGTCCCTCTCTTCCCAGGGAAATAATCAAAGGCAGCCAGCGAAAAAATAAAATAAATACAAAAATCAATATGTAGGCGTAAGCAGCAGCCGGTCCACAGCTACGTATCCATAAGATACAGATACACACACTCACACACACCCAC